GTTTCCTTTTCTTTTATTGGATCATGGTGGTGGTTTGGTGCACTATCAACCCCCCTCCCCCCCCCCCCCCCCCACATGATATTTCTACAAATATATCTTCCTCACATATGTCAGAACAAAAAATCAAAAAAATATAAAAGACAAAGGAATGGAAGGTAGAGCAGAAGAATATATATATGTTAGCTAAATTAGAAATTTAGAAGTATTAATTCAAAGGCGAATTCCCGATTTAAATTTTATATGTTCGAGTTCAAATTTTCAATTAACTAGATTCAAGGTATATTATTTGTACTCATTTAGTGAGATATTTTTAATATACATACAAAATTTAAGCTAAAACTATTGAATTCGGATAAGCTCATAATAGATGATAATTGATATGCATCCACAACTCCATTCTATTAGAAAAAGTAACCCATCGAATTAATATTTAAGGTGTATAACATCAATAAAGGTGAAGCACCAAGATACGAGAATCAATAAGAATAAAAAGAGTGATAATGATACTAAAATTTTAATGCGATTTTTTTTAACAGAGGAAAGAATCACAGTCTGAGAGGAACAAATGATATCGATCATAATAAGAAATTTTACACTTGTAGCCTCGAGTAAAATATTCAAATGACCCCTACACACCAAAAGAAAAAAATCTTTTGTTATTTTTTATAACATACTAGAATATCGTTTTAGATGGTTTTTAGTTATTGTGTTGTACCGTTATTTAGATGTAATATTTGTTTTGACTGTTAATTAAATTTTATTTTATTGTATCATTAAATTCATCGTTACGTAACGATGAAATGTGTCACTTTATATAACGACGGATTTGCTATGGTGGCATTGTTACCTTGCTCTTTTCTCTTATATTGCCCGTCTTTATCTATATTATTATAAAAGCGTGAATAAAATGTTGGATTACAAAAATAACCTTTTGATATTAAGCATAATAACTCACAGTAAAAGGACATAATCGGAATTCTAGACATTAGCCTTGCAATTCTATTAGTTTTAGGATATAATACTACATGCATGTTAGCAATCCTACATGATTACCTTTAGGAATTCTATTAGTATAATTATTTTATTGGCACATTTTTAGCCATGTAATACTATTACTTTTAGGATATACTTCTTAAAAATTCTATTATTAATTTAATTTAAAAACTTATTATATTGTCCAAATCCATTAAGAAACAGGAGAATCTATATTATTATAAAAGCATGAATATAATATTCATAGAACAAAATAACTCTAAAATATTAAACAGGAGAACTCACAGGGAAAAGACATAGCTGTAATAACTTTTTTTTTGGACTATAATAACTTCTATGGTAATTTTTTTAATATTTAAGATTTTAAATTTAATACAATCTTGTCTTTTGAATTCTTATTAAAAATATGTAGGAAGGTTTAATAAAATCATTTTCATAAGAATCCTCTATATTGGTAATACTTTATTACTCTATAATATTCAATACCAAAAAAAAGTAATGCTAAACGGACTGCATAAAGTGTTGAAATTGAGAACAAATCCCCACGATAATATATTATTATATTATATTATATTTGAACTGCTTTCCTACTAAAATAATTATTTTTTAAAATTAATTTTTTTGTGTAATATAAAAATATATAGCCAATTATTAAAGAATAGCTAAGAAAATTTTTAAGAATATAAATGTGTGAGAAAAAAGGAAGAGATTGGTAAGAGCCAATACCACTAATGATTTTGCAAACATAAAGATCTAAAAGTGGAATGTCAGATCGATCTTTTTACTCTTTGAAAATAAAATTTGTGATGGACAAATTATAATTATGGTTAAATATTCAAATATGAGATGAACTAATATTAAGAATCTAAATCAACAGAAAATAAATTATATTTTATGTTAAAACCAAACAATCAAATCTTTCAATTAATTATTTAGTAAGATAATTCAATTAAATTATTTTTAAATTCATCATATGAGTAAAATTATTTCTCAACTTAAAAAAAATCTTAGGGTACATAAATTTATTCCAAAGAAAAAGTGGTAGAGATTAAAAAATAGATCACAAAGTAAAAAAATTAGTATAATATTAAGAATGCCATACAAGTGTTTGAGGAAGCACAATCAAAGCTAAATACTAGACAAGAATAAGCTTTCAAGACTATATTATAAAAAGCCGACTCTAGTATAGCGAGATTATCCTTTGTAGATGCCTCCGGCGGAATCGAAATAATATTCATATGTCATGCATTACTTACAAATGTCAGATCAAGAGGCATGATATTGTTAGCAATAAGAACAAGTGGTGTACCGATGACGATTTTATTATGAGGTCATACAACTCACTTTAGATTTGATATACCTCTTCAAATAATTGAAATAACCATCACAAATATATCAAAGTAGAGCAATAATACTAAGTTTATAAGGAAATCAAATGTGATAATATGAGATGAAGCGCGATATCGATGACTAAGCGTCAAACAATCGAAACAATCGCCCAGAGTTTTAGAGATATATTGGATATCGATGAACCAATATTGGATATATTGGATATTGATAATATGAGATGAAGCGCTTTTGACTAAGCGTCAAACAATCGAAACAATCGCCCAGAGTTTTAGAGATATATTGGATATCGATGAACCGTTTGGTGGAAAAGTAATAGCTTGGAAGGTGATTTCTGTCAAGTACGATCAGTAGTTCCAAAATTGACCAAAGCAGAAACTATAAAAGCTAGCTTGCCAAAACTATACTTATGACTTCAAATGAAAATATTCAAATGACAAGAAATAACATATCCAGCATTCAATGACTTCTTGCTTCGTGTCGGAAACGAAGAAGAACACCCAATAAAAGATGATTTGGTTATTCTAGAACACTTGGTTATCAACTCCACTGATAATAGTAGTGCATTTAATAAGGAAAATATTTTCATCGTTAGTTTAAAATGCAATTTGTGCAAATTACATGATAGAAATTAAAGAGCTATCTTAGCTAGTAGAAAAGAATATGTTGATCAACTAAATAAAAGGATCATGCTAAGTAAAAGCAAAATATTTTTCAGTTTGACTCAGCAGAAGATGATACCAACAATTACTACCAAGAAGAATATTTAAATACGTTAGTATCAAATGGCCTTCTACCATACATGTTTGTTGTCAAGTTTATTATTTCTTACGTATGTTAATGTCACCATATATATAATAGACTAAGTTAAAATTTATCTTCCATTGCATATAGGTTGATTTTGAAGAAACATATGCTCGTCATGCTACTGAAAACTTAGATCCGCATAATAGCTTGTGTAATAGTATACATATAGTATATAGAAGTTTTGACAATAACGTCATACATGCAGAACTTATGATACTGGTCAATGTGCTTCTAAGTAAGTGTTTATCCCCGAATTCAACTTTCGTCTTCCGAAACTAAAGAATATATTTTTAAATTTGTGTGAAAATAATTTTCAGTATGTTTATGTTTTGTAGTTATAATAAATAAAGCATAAGGACAAACATCCTAAATATTAGACTATATTTACCATAATATATTTTCTTACACGAATAATTATTTGTTGCACTTTCAAGAAAGATATCAATATCGACAACAATAGATCTGGTTATGGCAGAGTAACCAAAACATTAGAAGGAAACATATATAAAAAAACACCGTCTATAAAGAAGTGTTCCGTAAGATACCATCACATTAGATACCTTTAAACTACAATACATAATTATCTACTTAATATGACTAAAATTGATCATTTATGTAAGTTCTAATGATGTCCTTTTATTTTGAGTTTACGTATTATGCTAATGTAACAATATCTTTTCGGCATTTATATGATTGTTGCAGTGTTATATATAAAATTTCTCTCATTAATTAAATTATATTGTATAAATAAATATTTAAACCATCATGTGTCATTATTATCGTGCAACACACGTTTATAGATACCAGTTACATTAAATACTCATATTTTATCCTTTACCCTAGTTTTTTATATAATAATTCTATTCCGTATCCTATTTTTACTTAGCAATATTGCAAGTTTATTCTTCATATTATTGGTGCGTGACATCATGAAACGATATGGTACGATATAATTTATCCAAACATCATATTCATCAAACAATACAATACAATGTAGTTCAATACGATACTTTATGAAACGACGTATAACAATTATCCAAACAAGCTGTTACACTCTCCATTTTCATCACGAACCACTTTTCTTCGACTGTCAGATATACCATACGATGCAGTATAATACGATACTTTATGAAATGACGTATAACAACCATCCAAACAAGCTGTTACACTCTCCATTTTTCATCACGGACCTGTCAGATATATACAATGCAGTACAATACGATACTTTATGAAATGACGTATAACATAAATTAATGACGTATAACAACCGCCCAAACAAGCTGTTACACTCCATTTTTCGTCACGGGCCACTTTTCTCTTAGACTATCAGATATATAATTTAATACAGTACAATACGATACTTTATGAAATGACGTATAACATAAATTAATGACATATAACAACCATCCAAACAAGCCGTTACACTCGCCATTTTTCGTCACGGACCACTTTTCTCTTAGACTATCAGATATATAATTTAATACAGTACAATACGATACTTTATGAAATGACGTATAACATAAATTAATGACATATAACAACCATCCAAACAAGACGTTACACTCGCCATTTTTCGTCACGGACCACTTTTCTCTTAGACTATCAGATATATAAATTAATACAATACAATACGATACTTTATGAAATGACATATGTTACTGTATCATTAACAACCAACCAAACAAACTATTACACTCTCTATTTTCCGGACGACTTTTCTGTTAGACTGTCAGATATACCAAACTTATTGGTCCCCCAAAACTTTTGACAACTAAGTTAATTGGCACATGCGAATTAAACTATATATATAGACAGAATTGGGTGATCATTTGGTTCAAGAAACTAAAGCAAATTAAAGATAGAGGAAAAAAAGATGAAAACAGAAGCCTCAACATCATCAGCAGCTGGTTCTTATCATCGACTTGATGATTATGAAGTTATTAATGATGATATTTCAAACAAAATTTTTACGAGTGATTCAGATGACTCTCGTCTCAGACAGTTGGGTTACAAACAAGAACTCTATCGTGGCCTTTCGTAAGTTCTTTTTTTTTAAAAAAAATAAAAAAATCTCTTCTTTCTATGGTTTCTTTACTCTTTGTTTCAATTTACGTGAACGTATTTTCTTTTTGGTCCATTCCAAAAAAAAAATGACCAATTTCTAAATTTGGTAACAATTTAACGTAAACTTACAATCTCCCCAACCAAGAGCAAGGTGGGAACCTCCACTTCCAACCAAGAGATTGTGAGTTCGAGTCTCCCCAAGAGCAAGGTGGAAAGTTCTTGGAGGGAAGGATGCCGGGGGTCTATTTGGAAACAGTCTCTCTACCTCAGGGTAGGGGTAAGGTCTGCGTACACACTACCCTCCCCAGACCCCACTAAGTGGGATTATACTGAGTTGTTGTTGTTGTTTTTATTTTTCTTAAATTCCGTGCCCAATCAAACAGATTCACATAAATTGAAACGGAGGGAGTATACATTTTCTGGCAAAATATAGAGTCCGCAAATTTAGAATGAATGTGATATTTTCTTCGTATAATTAATACATAATTCGAGTGGAAACCAATATCTCAGTGGATCCATAGAAACAGGTTTTTCTCTTCTTCCTTGGCCATATATCAAGGGGTAATTATTCTGAATTTCCATAGATTTAAAATTTAAGTTTTATTCAAAAATTAGTTTGATTGGCTCCAATTGATTCCCTTGGTGTATGATTGTGCAAATATTTTATTTAGTTTTAATGATTTTTTTTTTAAATATTTAGTTCTTGAACCTTGACAATGAAAGGGCAGATAGATATTTTCTTGAACCTTGAGTCCTTGACAAAGTTCCTCTGATAGTGACAGGGGCTAATAAAAATTAAAATCTTAGAACATGATATAGATTGCAAAATGTAAATCTAATTTGTCTGTAGTTTCTTCTTTATTTTTATTTTTTTTGTTTTATTTATTATTAAGTATTTCAGATCAACTTGCGCGCATCTCAACTAACTTACCGACTACTTACTATCTTTCACTAATACATCATGTTCTCAGTAACTCTATTTATAGAAGTTTATGCAAATTAGAAAAATTGACCTATAGGTTGTTTGGATGGTTGTTATATGTCGTTTCATAATATATCGTTTGTCATTGTTTGATGATGTCATGCACCAATAATATGAAGAATAAACTTGCAACATTATTAAAAAAAGTAGGATACATAGTAGTATTATTATATTAAAAAAAAGTAAGATAAAGGATAAAATATAATTATTTAATAATAAAAAAGGCAAGATGAGAGAAAAAAGTAAGGTAACGATGTTACTATACCAAATCTGTTGTCATATAAAGTGACATTTTTCGTTGTTACATAACGACGAATTTAACGATATTATACAATAAAATTAAAGTAACAATCAAAACAAACATTGTATTTAAAGTAACGATACAATACAATACAATAGGTGATAACCATCGCACCTGTTATGTTTGAACATGTTTTTTTAAAGAGAAAAGTAATTTTATTGGTGAATCTTTGTGATTACAATTGTTTTGCTCTCTTGATTCTTCTCTCTGGTTTATTCTTCGTAATTCGATGACTTAAACAGTGTATTTCTCGAACGTTGAATGATGTAAATTTTCTTGAAAATTTTATATCTTTATAAATATTTTATGAATTTATAGAATTTCGAGATGATCTTAATTTTCGAGATATCTGTCTAAACAGGTTCATTGCCAACTTCTCTATTACATTCACCATTGTATCAGTTCTTACGGGCATATCCACATTATACAACCAGGCCTTAGCTTTTGGTGGGCCTATAACTCTTGTTTACGGTTGGCCCATAGTTGGATTAATGACACTTATTGTGGGCCTGGCCTTGGCTGAAATATGTTCAGCTTATCCAACTTCAGCTGGGCTTTACTATTGGAGTGCTAAATTGTCTGGAAATTACTTCGGCCCATTTGCTTCTTGGATTACTGGCTGGTATGTGTGCTTTTCTTTTCCTCTCTTGTTGTTCTATTTTTGCGCAAAAAAAAAATAAAATAAAAAAAATCATATTTTAGAAATTTTTATGCTAATAGGAAATATAAAGAATTTTTAATGCTCTTAATTTTTATTTTGTATAATGCCAGCCTGAAAGGAGGTTGTGGAAGTCGAGAATTAATTAGGGTAGAAGATTAGTAGGTAGTTGAGCGTTTTTCTTTACCCTACCAGTAATATTAGTGTTAGTCTTGTATTTTTTTTTATTCTTAGATTTCTATTACTAGTTGTTGTTTCTTTCACTTTGGTGTTTTTATTATCTTGTTATTGTTACTTTTTTTTTCTCTTCATCTTTTCAGAAATAGCATCTCTACTTTCTCAAGGGTAAGGGTAGGACTGCGTAATACACTATTCTCCCCAGACCCCACATATGAAATTACTCTGGGTTTATTGTTGTTGATAATGCTTGCCTGAGATGAATTTTAATCGAAAAACATGTTTACCGAAGTTTTATATAACCGACCCAACTTATTTGAGATTGAGATGTAATTGCTTTTATTATTGTTGTTGTTGTCGCCACCATCGTCGTCGTCGTAGTAGTATTCTAGATGCTTAGTATGTGATTAAAAGTTGATGGCTCGTGTAGGAATTATGTATGAATTGATACTTTGATGCATGAAAGTGTAATTCATTCAACCATGCAATCTTGAGTTAGAAAAGTCAGATATGATATGTTCATCTTAATTAACACAAAATTTTGATACACAGGATTAGTTGATTTAATCTGGTAATATTTTTTTTGACGTGTATTAATATATTTAAATTAGTTGCTGTCTATTTGTCAGGACAAGCTCTTTGGAATAACTGCGATTTTTTAACATATGTATACATAATAAAGTCGAAAATAATGAATTCAGTTGAACCTACAAAATTTGTCCTATATCCGTTTGAAAGCTAATTTTATTAATGAAATAATTATTAGAATGTGTTTAACATATCGAGAATAGTTTGAATACTTCACTTAATACTATTTTAGTACCCTAAATTCTTATTCGATACTAAATTTCTCAAAAACACAATTTGTACTTCAGGTATAACTAAATAAAGCAAACTCCCCTTCAGGGGCGGAAATCTGTTTATATACACTGTATAAACATAAGGCAAAATCTGTGAACCCCCTTCGCCGAAAAAATACACTGTATATATAAGGCAAAATCTGTTTTTTACCTCTATATATTAAGTTTTGAACCCCCTTAACACAATCCAAAAGTGTAGTTTAGTGGTTAACGGGGTTCAAAATATACATAAGGTCATGAGTTTAATTCCCACTAGATGCTATTTTTTTTTGAACCCCCTTCGTGAAGATCCTGCCTCCGCCACTACTCCCCTTACTCCAATTTTTCTATGTAGAGACCAAGAAGGAAGTGACGTGGCCTAATGTATAGTTAAGTCCCAATTTTAGGTCTAGCCAAAAATAGAATGACCTGAAATATAGACTTTAAGGTAACTATTATTAGGAGTATTAAAGTTAAATGATTGGAATTTCTTCAACTAAAAAAAAAAGAACTTTTATGTTTTGAATTTGTACCGGTAATAAGATAAAGGCCATGCTTTATTTTTAGCCCCACTAATTGACAGATCTATAATTTAAATTTTATGAATTTGGAATTCTATTAAATATACTGATCATTTGAGTTTTTTTTTGGGTTTGTAAATTTAATATTTGTATATATTTAGTAGAATGCTTTCACATATACGAGGTGTATGTCAAAACTATTGAGTTCGACTAATACCGTTGGATTTTTGGGTTC